TGACATTTGTATAAATGTTAGTAAACCCACACACGCACATGTTTAACGGAGTTGAGGGTTCAAGAAACGTATTTGCTGTAGCCTGACTATTGAAAATGAAGTGACATAGAAGGTTGTCCTTGCCCGTGACTATACACAAAGCAGTATATCAATTGCTCACTTGGTCTGAATAGTCAGTTGGGGCTGGATCACGTCACGGCTTAGCGGCGTGAATAAGAATTTGCATTTATAACATAAGTTGAGTGCCATTTCTACGACATCAATCGCTGGATTATACTTCATCTAAAGAAAGTAAACTGTTTCTGTTTGAGAGGCTGAGCATCAAGTGGCTCATAAGCTTTCGGCTCAAATTATAATTAGTCAAGGCTTTTTGCTCCGTCTCTCTAAAGTTTCTCGCCGCTAGTACTGACGGCACAAAGGATTTTTGTTCTTCATTGTTGTACTTCTAAGAAGGATACTTGAATGGGATACGTCTGTCACATCGTTTGATGTCATAATGAGATGGAACACTCTCAACGGTATGAAACACGGTACTGGATATGTATGGCAGCTATAATTAATTTCCATTGTCAGGAGGAATAAGGTAAATATCGCGGACAAAGACACCGTGGTTGCTGCGTCGGATTCATGTAACGTCAGACGTCATATTGGAATGACATTCATTTGTTGCCTGTGATTTTGTCACCTATATACTGAGCACATCGTGTATCGAATTGCCAGATACAATGTTGAAACCGAAACAGAACCAGTGTTGCTTTGAGACATCGCGTTTGGAAAGACTTGAACGTCGGTTTCTGTCTCCAAGGCTACGTCAACGAAAGCTTAACATTTCACGTCTCTTAGACAAAAATGTCATGTCATCAGATGAAGGAGATTGGGATGAAGAGACGGATGAAGGGGGATTTACCTGGGACTTGATTCGGCCGCCGGTCTTGGGAAGAACCATTAAGGTAAACCTGGATCATGGAAAACCTGTTTTAATTTTCAAAGCGGTCACTCACTCATGATTGTCAGTATCCGGGTAGGTGGAATCTCCTTCATTTTAACGGTTTATTACAAACTAGTTTCACTCGTGAACGAAATTTTACGCAAGAACATGGCTGACTCTTGAGAAAACTGCCAACAATGATTGTGTTTTTGTTCGAACCTCGTCATACTTCTGCGTTTCTGATAAAGGCTTGACGATAGAATCTATCAATAAAAATGGTTTTGTTGCAATTATTAGCTTTTGTGTTAGTGAGCAATTCATCGGTCTCAAATGAAATCAAACGGACTGTAGGGATAGTCCAGTGGTTATAGCGTTCGCTTGTCACGCCGAAGACCCGGGTTCGATTCCCTACATGGGTACAATGTGTGAAGCCCATTTCAGTGTCTGCCGCCGTGATGTTGTTTGAATATTGCTAAAAGCGGCGTAAAAGCATACTCATACACTCACTCACTCACTCTTGGCGTGACGTCCATCGGTTGTCTGCTGTACATGGACCTGCATATTGCTAGTAAGTAGGTAATGTTCAGTTAAAATGACGATTAGTCCTATAATATTTAGAACGCAATATGTGCATGTACATGGTTAATGGAGCATGGCTATATCTACTTACATTTCAGAAGTTCATGTACAAGAAATATTTTCCGTGCCAATTGAAATGGTTTGCTTCCTTTGAAGGAAAATACTTCCATAGAAGTTCCATAATTCAATACTTAGGACACACGCCCATTCGTTCACATGACTATTGAAGTCACTTCAAGTAAGATTAACCAATAAATGTAATCGGTAATGAATGATTGATGGACGTTTTGGTCTACAGTGTTAATAAAGGGGGCTCTATGACTTCTATTCTTAGCAAACTTCCTCGGTGACTGAATGAGTGAAGTTGATCGCGACGATTATGGTCTCTTTAGCAGACACATACTCTAGTTACAGGTCCAGCATGATAAAAGTCAAGCAGTCTTCAAATATTGAATCACCCTTTTCTATATTGAAATACGTGAAAAGCTGGGGTTAAACCGACCTCAATCGCTGTTCATTAGTTGTTATCAATTGTAAGAATATCAAATATCATAGGGTTTCTTATAGGTTTTTAAAAAAAAATTGGGGTTGTTGTCTGCGAAGCAATTTTTTAATTTTTTTTTATTTATTTATTCTTTTCATTCAAATATCATAGTTATCTGTGACGAAATATGAATGAGACGGCGAACAATTTCTTTCAGGATATTAGAAATGGTTTTCGGCCTTGCGTTGTGCGACTATCCTGATTTGTCTGATCTCGGTGTAATAGTTTAGTTCTATCTTATTGATCTCAGGCAGCGGAATGATTACGCCTCAGTGTAATATTGATTAACACTGCGGTTTCCGCACATAAATAAACCCATCCAGAATAAACACAAACGCAATAAACAGTACGCACAATACGTATGTCGAAGCATAACTAACCATACATGTTCATGAGATACCATATGCGTTTTCAATACATGTGTGCAACTGGACGTTGTAGACCTATTGCATGATGTTGTGTTTCTAATACAAAGCGTCACGCACGCAGATGCTTAGAAACTCTTGCCTGACTTTCATCCATATCAAGCCTTGAAACCAATCCCTAGTCACCTTTTAAACAATCAGTATAGGTTGGATTATTGATTGTCAGAGTCAAGGTAACTGTGTTTGCGTGAGAAGGGTATGTGACAGTATCAGCTTCAGGCAGACAAACGACGAGACAAGGCGGGACGTGTTTACCTTTAGTTAATGCACTAGTGCATGTATGAATATATGTATCCAACACCCAACACAAACCCTGTCACCACGGGCTTTGTGACTGCCGTTCCCTGTCAGGCCGTTTTTCAGTAATGATGTTATTCCTATTATTGATCACGCACCTTTCATATGTACCCCTAGTCAATTTCCTCCTCGTGGACCCTTTTGTTTCCGGTCAGGATGACGCTATTCGTGAGAGTCAATTACTGTGGGTGACATGGCATTGTGTATTCATACTGTATATTCATACTGTGGATTAGTTGGTCAGGCTTTATCAAGTATTTACAGAACGTCGTGATGCAATTGCACTGTTGCTTGGAGCATCAAAACGACTTCGTCCTCTGTATCAGAGATCACCGTTAGCAACCACTTTACAACTCGATATTTACAGGCCCTCATGATGACCAGAATACTGCTGACTGCGTTAGTTATACCCACGGCTTGAAGTACAATGTCAGGCTTAAAATGTCAATCGGGTCTGGGATTTGAACCAATAACCAGCATATTCTTGTAACTGTCTTTGCTTACATGGGTGACCATTGCCATCATCACTATATTCTGAACAATATATTTGATCAACAATTGTCAGTTTGGCAAGGTATTTCGGTTTTGTGTCGGAGGGGATCATGGAGTGAAGGACGAATCAAGCGATACAAATGATCCTCTCACTGGCGAAACATAACATATAATACTTCTATTGCTGTTTAAATAATGCTTACAATAATACATATATTTAGTATGTGGACATAACTAATTGAATATCCTTCACACTTTGACGAGTTAAACGTTACAGAAGTCATTAGAACGTTACAGTGATTCATTCAGTGCGTCGCTTAGTTTAGGCCTCTTCAACTGTGATGAAACTTTTGAAGCTGAGTATGTTGTTGACCTATCAAGAAACTCACAACCAGCAGCTGAGAGACATAATCATCCTGTCCTCTTGAGGCCAAGTATCACATATAACATGTTACGAAGGCAAACACATAATCATTAACCTCTTTGTCGTCTATAATGGCAGTGCACCGTGGAGACAGCCACAGCAATTATTGTTAAGAAATACGTTAAATAACCATTAACGCCAAGCCCTTTGCCAGAGTAGTAATATAACGCTGTTCACTCGCGATCGGTAAACAACATTAACATCACACAGCCATGATGGTGAGGTTATGTACATTATATAACATTTGACTTTGCAATTCTCTGGTACGTGTAAGTTATTGCGAACATACATGTAAACACAATCGTTAAATGGGAGATAACTGTAGAAGAGGGAAATCTTTTAGGAACCGGAAATGGTTGAAGCGCCATGTTTTCCACTTGGGTTGAAACAGTCAGATCGATTATCGTTTGCATGATCTTCCAGTTAACGATGGATGAAAATATTGATCCAAAATATGAAACTAGTTGCTAAATGTCAGAAATGTTCCGTGACATTTTTATTGGGAAGCTTTTGTCCAAAGAAAATTAATAACTGGGCTGTCCCACATAAACCCATTCGTCATAATTAAGGCAGCACATATAGCAGTTATTACGAGTCGGTAGTTTGAAGGCGTTAGTGGTGGGTGTTTTTGTTCCTAATCAGCTGGGGCTGTGATTTATATAGGCTGATACAGAGAACAATGAAGTGTTATTGACATCGGTCACTGTTTGCTCTGGTCTCATGGCAGTTCGCTTGGATACCCTAATACCCTGTAAAGAGCCTAGTATTAATCACCGATATAACTAATAACGCCTGTGATGTTATACGAGAAACAGAGAAACTCTTAAGCAGTGTGTTGTCAAACTGGCATTTGCTTCAGAGGGAATAGGCATATTTAAACATTCGCTAAAGGAGTCTTCGTTCATAACCTGGACAGCCTTGTTATCAGGGATATGTACAACCATGGGATGGCCAACTACTGATTAAATAGACTAAGAAGTGTTGAAGAAGACCAATGAATTTATCATCAACCTGGTATCGTGGAAATACCAAACCTTCACATCATTGTGAATTATATCGGTCATCTGTTGTGTGAAGATGAAACAAACAATTCACACAGGATCTCAACAAGTGTAATGATAGCGCCCGGATAGACAGGTCCCTTTTCAAGCAGTTAGGATGTTCTGCAATTCGAATCTGTTCAATGTATTATTAATGACCTCATTTCCAGAGTCGAGACGAGGGAATGATTAACTAATTGATACTATCACCGAATGAGACTGATGAATTTTACAAGACAGGCATTAGGGTTGAATCATTATCTCAGTCAGGACGTACATGTAGGTACAAACTTGATAGGGGGAAACCTGCGTGCCAACTGCCCCTCCATCATAGTCAAGATGCGTCTGATATTGAACGCCCAATTGGTCGATTGCCTTGGAGACAGGGTGTGCATGTTTAAAGCGTTTGTTCCGGATCACACCGCTCGTGCAGGCCATAGGATACAATGATGGAGTATAAACACCAGGTAATTATCTCACTGACTGCTATGGACGGGATGCATGTTAACTGCGACACTGGGAAACATTCACGATGTTATTGATATCGTTGTGGTGATAAGGACAAGAACTCGTCTAGCGAGACGTTGGTGTCAAGGAGTACCCTTGTGTATGTGGTGCTGCAGAATCTTTAATATTTACCATTTATGCTAACATGGAAGTGTTTAAAGTTCGTGGTACATTCACACCTCATCAGAAACTTGTGTCTTTCAATGCAATACCGGAATCCTCGAATAAGTGTAAAATCCAACTTTATGATACAAGCGGACATGTAAAATTCATTCCGGATTTTACACGAAGAACTGGACTCAGACCGGCAACCACAGAATCTGACTTATGGCCGCCGATGGCTTCACACAGAAAGAACGATAAGAAGACTCAATATCTGTTGAAGGTGGCAAGACGAATTCAGCTTCGAATGGACAATACGAACAGCACAACAACATCGGAAGATGTGTCTGCAGTGTCTAAGGACACAAGTAAAACCACCAGCTCTTTCAGCCTCGACCTTCTTCAGAACAAACCAGCTATCATCAAACGGAGAAGAACAGTTCACGGTGTGACTTCAACAGAACAGAAAACAAATATTTTGGAAATAGAAATACCATCTGTAGGTGTTCCGTCGACCGGCAGTCGGACCTCGTGTACGTCAAACACCAGCGAACAGACCCGGGACAAAGGTATCGGCCGCAATCGATTGATCACGGTAACCTCAAGCCAACCCTGTATTCAGGACGAACCCAGGGGCACCGAAAGCACCTCGGAAATATCTGATTCCGATTACAGTGGGTCAGTAGATCGCATAGACATACAGAAACAAAGAGCAGGTGATGTGTTCCCAACAGTGGACGAAAATGTGTCAACGTCGTGTGAAAGTCTGCGCACTACCCTTGACGCATATCAGGAAAGAGCGGCACGAGTCACGTGGGACAAAAAGACGGCACGATTTCGTAGTTTTCGAAGACTGAGATATGGAAAGTCCTATCATAATTTGCTTCAACAGAATGTTCGTGCTACTAACAAGGACCAAATGGATGCAGTGGCGTCCAGGAAACAGAAAGCACTGCGAAGAGTCCGTTCATACGGCGATGTCCATGAGAAATATGAATTTCGTACATTTCGTGTAAGTATTACAATATGTCTATTGAATGGAGCTCTATTACGAATGCGTGTGCATTCAAACAAACAAAAAAGAAACTTACGTGAGAAATTTGTAATGTGTTATCGTTTAATTTAAACTGTGTTATATATTCACACACTAAACCACGCGTGTCATTAGTGACCATTAGTTTTCGCTCAAGAGACAAAACAACCACACTTAATTCATTGGTTTATTAATACTGGCTCCACAATGGACCAAACCAGACGATCATTACCGATCTCTCAACGTTAACCTGCACCCCATTAATCATCATGACAAGTTATGAACATGTATTTATTAGATTGGTTGGTTTGTTGTGAGTGAATTTAGTCTTACGCCGCACTATTCCAGCTATATGACGGCGGTCTGTAAATAATCAAGTCTGAACCAGACAATCCAGTGATCACCATCATGAGCATCGACCTTCGCAATTGAGAAACGATGACACGTGTCAACCAAGTCAGCGGGCCTGACCACCCGATCCCGTTAGTCCTTTTACGACAAGCATGGGTTACCGAAGACGTATTCAGTGGATGCTATGTATGAGTGTAACATAACGCTACACGTATGTACTATTTTATACACGTGATACACATAGTGCTGTGTCAGCTTACCTATTATGGTCGATCAGATTTTCCCGTGATCCTTCGTGATGACATACAATATCATGAGCTTTACGAATCTCTTCAGTGCTCTGCACAGATAGTGATGACGTCATATGCATACTGTCTGAGGTATTCCAATTATGCTAAAGTTTGCAATGCGTCTTTCAATGCGAAGGAATGCAACCCGTGATGATCCGGCTTAGAATTGATCAGCAAAAGTGCTCGGCGTGAGAGGCGAACGGGAACGGATGGACAGGCTCGCTGACATGACTTATAGATGTCATCGTAACCCAATGACACAGATCGAAGCTAATGATGCCAATGAGTTTCAAATCCAGACCCTACTATTTCACAGACCGTTTTAACAAAGCTGGAATATTGCGGAGTGCGGCGTTAAACAATACCGAAACGAATGTAGTGGGCATGAATGAGCGATTTACACCGATAGTCCGTACATTACGACCATTTAGATCATACTACGACCATGCAGAAATTAATGGAATCCCACAGTCTTCCGCCCGAAGCAACAACAACAAAGAGAAGATATTAACTATAACTCCACAGTTTACTCTCTTAACAGGTGAAATTACATAGCCCAATTTCAAGAGTTCAAATCCACAGTCTTGTGACCCATAATAACTAAAGGTTCAGTTAATGTGACACTATCATTAACAAAACACATCCTCCATAACAATATATCACCGATGACCGAAGGAAGGCTACACAATTGTACTGATGGAACATGATATGATATGGATCACAGTGCGCGATAGCTTGTGACTGCACGTCTAACTAAAGACGTTTATGAATATATGTCTTTGGTCTAACTGCACTCCTGAAACAAAATGACTTAACACCCTCAGTATCACTGAAACTTAGTACGCCTTTTAGTTAAATGTTATATTTGCACTACGTGCTTTTGGTGGTCCCATCTTATTCAAACTAACACTATCTGCACAAAATAACTACTATGATATGTTCCTTACTTAGAATGTGTAATCCCAGATATAACGTGTGTTAAATTTGACCAATTTCTGAAAGGTACTGTGTATCCATGTTGTTAGATTGCATCTCAATTAGCTAACTGCTCCCTGTCGTGTTGAACTGTGGCCCTCTGCAAGAAACAATATTCCACATATCTGTCGTGATTATATTGTCATTTGTATGCGTTATACTCGAGTTCTCTCAAATGAGACCCGTGAAGGTCCGGGTTAGAATGAGCCTTCAGTAACCCATGCTTGTCGTGAGAGGCGACTAACGGGATCGGGTGGTCAGGTTCGCTGGCTTGGTTGACACGTGTCATCGGTTCCCAATTGCGAAGATCGATGCTCATGCTGTTGATCACTGGATTGTCTGGTCCAGACTCAATTATTTACAGACCGCCGCCATATAGCTGGAATATTGCTGAGTGTGGTGTAAAACTAAATTCACTCACTCACTCTCTCAAATTAAAATTAAAGAATTACAAGAAAAAACGTTTATATATCTCAATGTGAAAAGATCCCCTATACTGTTTTGAATTTCCGGAAACTCCAATCTGCAATCTGTAATATTAATAAGCTGTTATACACGTAAGTGTCTGCGTGACAGGCGGTTATAGACCGGGTGCTGAGTTTTATTTATATCATATATGTATCTGTCACGAGCTGCGATCAACTGATACATTACTTGGAATATTTTGAACATAAAGTTGGAACGCCATGTGGACATAATCATAATCATAAGATGAATCAGAATAGGGAACAGGATAAATCATGCGGACCACTCCTCGTTTATTCTATCTAAAATTAAAATATTGAACAATATCGCTAACTAAATTCAGCTTCAGTGAATTAAAACAGATTTTTACATTCTAAGATTAATGATGTTGCCCACTTTCATACACCCTGACTGGTCATTCTCCTTTACTGTATACTCTATGAATACGTATTGTATACAATAGTTGTTTGAACCATATTACATGGTCAAATTTAAAAGAAAATCTAGAAGACACACCCACGCATCCACAGAGAAACACACAGAGACACAGACAGACACACACAGAGAGACAGAGACACACACAGAGACAGACAGACACACACAGATACCTCGCAGACAGTGTTGTTTGTAGTGACGACTGAAGGTAAATAAATGGCCAGTAGTCAACCGAGGCCTTTTAATTTCCATCCGAGACAAAATCACATGAATCTTTCATTACTCCCATCAAGAAGTTAATCAATTCGTTTGGCACTGTGCGTGTGGAGAGGCATGGTCCTTAGCGAAATATAGGTGCGGCGTTTAACGCCAGCCATAAATTACCTCCCCATCCTAAAATCACACCGATTCATAGATAAGATCAGATATCTGTGAGGATGCAACTGTGCAAGTGTGGCACTATGTATTTCCATTACCCAATATGCTAAAGACTTATAAATCTGCTTGGAATAGAGACGAACCTCGGTTATCCGGTCACTTTTGTCCACATAAACAAATATCCGGATATCTTAATCTCGTGAGTGCAACACTGTATTTGGAATTATGCATCGTTGAGATGATGGAAAACTAGACAGGCTATGGTGGAATTGTGTGTGTTTGGTGGTAGAAATGGCAACAATAGGATTCTTTGTACGTCAAGGAATGAGACTCGTTTTCATAAGAAGGAAGAGAGAGGAGGTGTTTCCTTACCAACAACCTGTTAAGGAGCCAGATGTGAAGGAAGACAATGATATCAAAGTAAATGAGGATCAGGCCTTGAAGGCAAAACAGGTAGGTTATGATATATGAATGTTAGAATTTAATCAGAGAGATGGCAAACCTGTGTCAAAGGTGAGAGGTGCCACTTGATAAAAGCCCTTCATTTCATATCCGCAAGCATCATTTGTCTGTTTTGCACCTCGGTAAATTTAAAATTACTTCGCAAAGTTCAGGGCAACATAAAGTGCAATATTACCCCTCTCGGTTCGTTATCTGTAAATGTGTCATCGATACCTTGCACAGTTATTGTATTCTTTGTTCATATCTGTCTGCCAAATATGAAACATCTCACTACTAATAAACATATTACGTTTATTATTACCAAGTAAGCATTTAAACCTTTGAGTCTTGACGTAGCTGGATTGTTGTTAATTGTGGCCGAAACAACAATCTTTAACAACATTCAAAGCATTCAAGGCATTTTATGGCTTATTAAATAAGGTGCGCAACTCCGAGAGATTGTTTGCTAGTTATTAGCCTGTGATGGACCACGGTGAAGAAGTCGATGTGGTTATTTTTGTAAATTAGTAATACGTATGGTGCCGGCATCTTATTGGTCAAAAGCAGTTATAACGTCATCATTTGCATAATTGTCATATCGCCAATATATGATCATGCAAAAGCCTATATATATACCACCCAAAAACTCACAACCACTGAGCCACACCAGAGCAGACTTTTGGTAATGTCTTTATTTCATAGAAACAACCTCTTTTCTAAGGTTCCTCAAGTCTATGTCATCGATAGTTCAGAGTTTGTCCTCGCAGTAAATGACAACATTACTCAACGAACTTCCTGATTGAACTACCGGTAATTTCCTGAGCTAATCACCTCAACGGTCGATTACACAGGTGTGTCACCGTATATCGGTTAAACCGTACAGGTAACACGCTGCTGTAATTTCCAAGCCGATATTGGCCACTCAGTTGTACCGCTTGGCTGCATGGCAAAGGAAACTAAGTGCACCTGGTTATAATGCTACCCTGCATATAATGCCATGGTTTTGCCAGAACGGATTTCCTGTCTATAATACCCTGGTTATAATGCCAAACTGGACATAATGCCATTTGCCAATGATTCTTGGAACAAAATGTCATTTTCCCCTGGTTATAATGCCAATTACACTGGCTGCATGTAGTATACATACCGTAATTAGTTAATTGACTTGACTCAAATTAATTGACCAAACTCATTAATAAGTAGTCTTGTAATCCCAGATAGGATAACACATGTGACAATACACTTCCTGCCATCTATAACAAAAAAGACACCTGCAGCAAACACACCCTTGGATTATCCAGTCATTTAATGCTCATAACAGGAGACATCAGCTCAGTCACCTTGTTGATTGCACTGGTCCCCTAACTGGCCTACCTGGTTATACTGCCACCCTGGATATAATACCATATTTTCTCCTGGACAAATGGTGGCTGTACTGTAATATAATTTACAGTGAAGTATCTTTGTCAAGTTGACATTGAGCTTGGGACGTCATTTCTTGTGGGACACAATCGAAGTGTCAAGTACTTTGACCTGTATATAACGTTACATCGACAAATTTTAAAAACGATATATCGCAATAATGATGTTCGTGTTAGAGAGTTGTTTTTTTAATTTGAAACTGACATCAGTAAATTGATCACTAATATAAATGTGCAACTGTAGTGGAGTAAATCGTTAAGAAGATACATGTTAATGCTTATAATGGATGTATGATGACTACAAGTAAATAACTGGGGTGATCAGTAATGGTATAACTGTAAATGGATAAGCGCAGTTTTTGATTACATTATTATTGTCATTAGCCGGGTGTACGAAACACCATGGCTTGAGTGTCTTTGCGGATCGTATGAAATATTTGTAAATCCACGTCCCTGGATTGTCTGGTCCACACTCGATTATTTACAGACCGCCGTCATATAGCTGCCATAAAGATGCAGTATTGTTGAGTGCGGCGTAAAACTAAACTCAAACACTCACTCACTATTGTTCAAAGCTTGGTAAAAAAGCTCGGGGTCGAAAATTCGAGAATTATGAATAATATGGGTCGTTGGTTAGATTATTAGATTAGAATGGGATTCTGCCCCACTAAAAGACATGCACTATTATTTTTCTTTTATCTTTATCTCAAAGAGCGCATGGTGCCGAAATCATAGTGATATATTGCAGGTCAAGCCTACGTCTGTGTTTGTTTTCATGATCGTGACTGGCCAGTCGGATAGCCAGGTGTATTACATGTAGTGATAAATTACAGAGAGGTATATATTTCACTCATGCCGCTGCTATTTGCATTGAAAATATAACGTGTTGTGTAAGCATATAATATATCATTTTGTTTTCAGTTTATAGGACGTTTATACATCTTAACATTAAGGCTCCATTTTCTAATGTACATATAAGTAAAGGTGATGATGATTCGTTCGTATGTCTTTATTTCTCCTTATTCCATTTCAAAACAATAGTGTACAGCTGGTGGTTTAGATTTAGTAATGCAATTTGTCTGTGCTGGCATTGTTAAAATATACAAAATCTTCGATACTCCGAGATACTTATATATTTCAAGATGGGATACCTATATCTTACTTTCATTGTTTTCAGCCACTGTACAAATTCCGACGAGCTGTCCGGACAGTTATTGTGTTGATGAAGGCTACCGTGTCCAGCAGGTAAATACAGGAAACTACGCTTATATCGAACACGATCGAACAACACTTATAGTCCAAACCACTGGCATCACATTTTAATCGAAATGCGTAAAACGAACTACGGTTATGATGAATAATAAACGGCGCCTTTAAGTTCGTGACATCCGTATCATACTGTATGTAGGTCCGTGTATCACTGACTACATGTGAATGTAGGTATGGCTTGATCACGTATACGTACACAGCGTTCGCCCTTAACCTTTAAAAGATGCAGGCCCTAAGGACCCAGAACCATAAAAAGGTGTGGGTCCTGATCAGAATGTATAGGCCCTATATCTTAATATGGAAATAATACTCTTAGTTATTGGGGATGAAGAAGCTGTCGCCCATAAGGACCTGCAGAAAAAAAAGCTGTGGGTCCGAGTGTTTTTTAGTCGGCTTTGGGCCTAAGGACCGACGTTAATTTCGAACGCTGCACGTACATTATATAATATTTGTCGCAGAATTTGAGAAACATAAACATCAGCGTGTTTCACGCTGATTTCAACTGTGTGGGGGTGAAAGAGTTTAACTGGCACTAAGATGATCCCAGTCCCGTAATTTGAACTCATGATGACTAAGATCCAACACGTGACGAAGTCTCAACGTCATTCATTGTTCTACTGGACTATGCCCTGCTGATAATAATCAGCTTAGCCACGGAAGAGTTGTTGTCAGTGTCGGTGGAAGCAATGACCACGATCTGGTCTACTCACGTCTTGTTCCACTACATTGATCTCCTATGATCCATGTTTGAAATGTGCGTTGTGTTCTGTCGCAAAAGCGTCTAATATGGCTCAACGTTTCTGACGTCATCACTAACTATGTTGTCTCACATAATGATATACATGCGAAAGTGAAAACTCAATTAATAGCATTGTAGCTGTGTTAGCTTTCCCTACTCAGTAAACACAAGACTCCTATCTACAGCCCATACACTGCACATCATTGTTCATTATTTATACTTAACTATGATTTTCATGTTGTTATTGATGTTATTCAAGCCAGTTATTATTTTTCAAAATATGTTTATACAAACTTTGGACGGTAGGGGTGTATGAATAGGTATGCCCTGTTTTCGTATCGTAAGTCATAGGTTTAGACCCGTGAAGATCCCGGTTAGAATTGATCTTCAGTAACCCATGCTTGTCGTAAGAGACGACTAACGGGATCTGGTGATGAGGCTGGCTGACCTGACTGACACATGTCATCGTATCCCAATTTGCGCAGATCGATGCTCATGCTGTTGATCACTGGATTGTCTAGTCCAGACTCCATTATTTCCAGACCGCCACCATATAGCTGAGGTTCTGGAGCTGGAATATTGCTGAGTGTGGCGTAAAACTTAACTGACTCACTCACTCACCATAGCAGAGTGAAAAACTCGCTTACGGACATTCAGTCAGAAACAATCGTAGATATGTTGATCTCCCCTAAACACATGGTACGTGATTATAGCCCATATATACAATGCACATGCATACTCATTTTGACACCTACACCTACCTTCATCTCTCAGTCAGACACCGCAGCGGAGTGAACGTCAAGCCATGTCGTGGACCCAGGTCCATGACGACGTCGGTACGTCAAGACGAGCGTATGAACGATTTGGACTCACCTTTGACCCCAGCATCTTTCGAGCCAACAGGGAGGTATGTACCGTTAAAGGAAGACAACTGTGTAGCGTGTTGTGCAGTTCATATTAACGAGCAATGATTTTTGTCGATGATTTTTGTTTTTCATCAACAGGACTGTGTTGATTTATTTGATTTATTTCTTGATCTCTCCCGAGCGAAACACGTTTTTAGATGGTAATAAATTGTGATGACAAGTGTATGAAACAAAACTTAGTTACTTTTACTGATTTTCCAGGCTCAGCTGAGTACCGAAGCCAAGGCTATCCTGTCTATGGACCCTGTGGACAGGACGGAAGAGCAGCTGCATCTCGCTCTAGCATCTCTGAAACAAGCCGTGGACGCTTTCGGAGAGTTCCCCATCAAGATGCAGAGGTCCCTGGTCAAGGTTGGGTGGTATGAACAGTGAGTATTCCGTCATACCGTCATATCATCGTCATACCATCATAGCGAAACGATGGTCTGTTGTGCACTTTGTGTGCGTCAGTGTACCCGCATGAGTGTGTGTGTGAATATCACGGCGGGAGACACAAGCAATGGGTTTCATATATTATACCCATGTGGGGCATCGAACCCGGCGTTTGGCGTGACGACGGAACGCTTTGACCACTAGGCTACCACACCGCCCCCTACCCAGATGAATAAAACCATGAACAATTGAATTGATTGAGGCCGCCTTGATTGTTTTTGAATTCGTGATGGAGCTTGGATGTTTATGAAAATAGCGATAAACAGCATTCCTTTTGTCACTCGCAAAATGCAAAGTTGCTTGGAGCCTAACAGCATCAAAATTAAGATAAGCCATAAAAAATGAAACTCGATAAATATTTTTTTATTCAACTCAGGTAATCTTGTATAATCTTTATTAAACACATTCTGTGCTATTCGTGACCAAGTTTATCACGTAAAGTACCTTATTGAAAGCAACATATGCCACTGATAAGTGGATTTTTAGCTACATCGTGATAACTAAAAGATCAACTTATTGGCAACGTGGGGATTCCAGTCAAGAGGACTTATCGTGATGGCGACAGCCAGGGCCTGCTGTCATTTGCGATCGGGTTAATGTGACATCAAACACAAGGCACACAATGTACACATGTCTTTTGAATCTGTATGCCAGTGCCTCTTGATTTCAGTTTCGAGCGGAAGAGAGTTATCATTCGACAAGGCCACGTTGCTGAGAATTTCTACTTTATCCTCTCTGGTATCGGTAAGTATCAACAAGTATCCACACGAACCGAGTTACTTCCCTTTATCCAATGCTTTCGGATACATTTCAGCTCATTCGGAAAACCAACGTCACGTATGCGAAATAAGCAACTTACCCAGTATGTGTTCCGATTGATTACCTACATGAAATACATACCTTGCGTGAGAGCCCTACATGGAAAATAATCACAAATCCGGACCTAATACTTAAATTGTAGGTTAAGAGTATGCCATTCGTAGCTATACCCACCGTCGAGAAATAGATCGACGTCGCTCATATTATCTGTCACTCAGTTTTTAACAGACCGTCGTCATAAAACTGAATGAGTGAGTGAGATTAATATTACGCCGCACTCAGCAATATTCCAGCTATATGGCGGCGGTCTGTAAATAATCGAGCCTGGACCAGACAATTCAGTGAGCAACAGCATGACCATCGATTTACGCAATTGGGAACCGATGACATGTGTCAACCAAGTTAGCGACCCTAATCACCCGGTTAGTCGCCTCTTATGACAAGCATGGGTTGCTGAAGATCACTTCTACCCCGGATCCTCACGGGTCGTTATAAAACTAAAATATAGCAAACTGTGGAGTTAAACAACACACGAAACTGTAAATACAAGTCTTTCTCTTGTTTTGATGCATCTTAAATTTATTTATTTTCTTGTTTCAGCGGTTGTGACTGTACTGGAGACACACAAACAGACGGGGGAACAGTATGGTCACACAGTCGCCATGCTAAAGAAGGGGAATAGTTTTGGGGTAAGATATATACGTCACATATTAGGTTGAACAACGCCGGAATCAAGGCCAGTGCAGGTGCCAGTGATCCATTATTGAACCATAAGAGGAGTCAGATTTGTTTGAAATCATGATCCATTTGAGTCACTGTACCTCCATGACATGGATCGTTGCCTAAAGGAACACTTGTTGCCAGCCTGAGGCTTGGTGATTCACAGGACGCTAATTAAAGAACCTTTTCACTTAACTTCATTGCATGGACATACATTGAATCTAGCATGCACCACTATTTATCGAAATCCGAAAGCCGTCAGAATCTTTATACCGACTGCGTTTGTCGATTTCCAACCTGGAACATATTCTATACTGGAACCAAACAATTACCTATCGGTGTAGGGCTTTACATGCATTGTCTCAGAACAAAGGTAACCATAGCGACGAATCAGAAGTTTCTTATAAATAATTAGAGACACTCAGGATCGCCATTCGGAAACGCTTCTTAACGCGTTCTTACATATGCACACATACGCGTACGAATCACACATCAGCTTTATACGTTACAAACGCTTTCAAAAAGTGCCAATGTTTTTACAAATCAAACATTAACCACACGTGTGTTTGTAGTTATTTAAAATAACGAAGAAGAGTAACCATTACAGAAAGGCGTACAATCCTATTTTAGTACAGTGTTTTGGAAAAAATAGGCTGAAGTACAAAAACATTACTACAGTGGTTGCGACACTCCACATATCCACGGAACCAAGCTGGTGCTTAAGGATTTGCAATAACACCCTGCAATATATCAGACTATCTGGGTGTCTGTGGCACCAAACATGGAGGAGAAGGCCATCTCCCAAGAATGATAGTTTGCGTTGAAGTAGACAGTATTTATTAAATCAACTATTGTCAGTAAAGGGTTGAATTTTACATATATTGAGAGAAACAAATAAAGGAACACAGGTAAATTCCTTTAATATTTCCCAGTTTAGATCACCAGCTTTGAATAGCGCTGTGGGAGGAAATCTGAGAATGAATAAAGGATCACCGCTGTGAAATGGTGTTCCCTTATTTGTTTCCCTCGATATATTTGTCCAGACCACATTATTGTCCAATAACGTATCTCATACCGTAAACAATGATATGCTGCGATCGGCGATTGCCTTTTAGCCAATCGTTTCTTGGACATCGACCACTGGTTTTACTTGCTCAGTTCAAAATGTAGGGACCTTCCCATTACTGTTAAAATACTGAGCCTTTCATAAGCGAGAGAATATGAATCAGTGCCCAATGACGTGACACTCTTTACGCAAATTCAGAGCGTGAGTGAGTCGGTGCATGGGTAGCGTCCTTTTGTATATAAATATATATATATTCGGACGTTTCAGATGTGCCTGGGTCCACTAAAACCTCATTAGTGGCGTTTTTCTAGTTGTAAACTAGTAAACGGAAATTAGCAAATTACATCACACGCCCCTTCCAGGAATATCGAAGCTGAGAAACTCATCACAGATTAATCAGTTATTACAATGCTGAGATGGTGAGTTGAAGTGAGTAAATGCACTGAACTCCATGCACAAAGTGTATAGCATGTATGACATTTCCTTGTCGAACCCCTACAGGAGTTGGCGCTGATGCACGGATCCCGACGCAGTGCGACAGTAACGTGCAAAAACGATGTGGAACTCCTTGCGGTGGGGAGACAGGACTTCATCGACATTTTCATGAACGTGGAGAAAAACAAAGAACCAGAGCATATCACCTTTCTTCGTTCCATCGACACCTTGCGTGGATGGCCTTTGGAGGTTCTTCCATATAACGACCCAAAGACCTGCATCTACACCTATTTCAGGTATGCCTTCGTTAGCAAGCATCACGCAGGCCAATGTACATCATCTCCTGACATTGTTGCAGTGGATGGAGGTTAGCATTTGCTCTAGTTTAAATATAAGACAAACTATTATGGATGTCAACTTCTTCTTTATTGTATACACAACGTTTCTGGGCTTGTCCCCGCCCCTTCCTCGAGTGAATAGCCCGACGAAGGGGCAACGAAAAGCCCAGAAACGTTGTGTATAGTATAAAGAAGAAGTTGACCACCATAATAGTTTGTCTTGTACTTGAATACCAACTTCTATATGCCTCGTTTAAATATCTTAGTGTTTTGGTCGCAGTTTTGAAGTTTTGAATTTATAAACATCGATCTTTCATCATATGTACGTTCCAGGTTTCTCATCAGTATATTTATGATAAGTATTATTATTTCATTATTTCATTATTAAAACTTCTGATTGTACAAGTGTGAAACCTGTCTCACCCTTCGCTTATATTGATTAAGATATATTTATGAAGCGCACGTAAATCGCCCACAGTATCAACCCAATAGAGTTGTGTCCCCTACCCTATAAATCGTTATTTCTTTAGATCCAAGAAACCTACGTGCATCGCCTTTTTTGTCAGTCAGAAGAAGTTTGCTATATTTTATTCAACGTTTCGACCTATAAGGTCTACACACCGTGCATGTATTTACGGCAATGAGTTTAGTTGCAGCCATGGTTTGACTGCGACTTTAAGACGTATATATATACGTACATGTGTGAGAGTTTGCTCTCTTGACATACAGCCGTCACAGTCAAAAAAGAATTGTAATGCGTCATGTATTTCCATTTCCCGCAATACACAGGTGGTAAATATCCACTTCACGATTAGCGTATTTTTAACTCATACTGAAACACACGCACAATGTTTTAATGCTCAATGTAACCGTCTTGTCGTGGTATCCCATCATTCCTGACGAAAAAATATAAATACAATAAAAACGTTTTATTATTCACGTTTCGTATTGTTCGCATTTTAAATTTTAATTGATTAAAGACTTTATATGTGGAAAAGCTTTTATTATTTAATATTCTTCACATGAAATTATTTCATGCATGTTTGAATAAACCTTATTTTACTTAAAATGTCAAGTCTAAATAACAGCTACAAACACCTTTCTGTATTCATATAAAATATGTGCAGAAAGCAGATTTGACTGTGCGGCCATAAATCATGAGCACATGCTTATGAACCACTATCAAATACTATATAAGTGTCTGCGAAATGGTACGATGATCCTGTTGCACCAATCCCAAACATACTCACATGCACGGCAACACATGATATATGTCAGAATTCTGGTATTCACAATATCGATACTCCCTATTTCTTGCACAAATATCAATTCTCCCTTTCCGAGATATGAAAAACGACTCGGGATACATTTCAAGGCTTTATTAAACACCCCCTATTTCTAGGAACCACAACTAAAAACATAATCTTTCGCGGGTAAGGGGTTGTACATTTAACAGATGGTACGCACATTGTTTGAAACGCGTTGTGTTCTCACTATGATGAAATATTCTGGCAGGCGTGGCGTCCTGCTCTGCAAGGAGAGCAACACCACCGACTGGATCTACGTTATCCTCACCGGATCCTGCCGAGTGCTGAAGTCCCTATACGCCACCAAACCCACCTACGAGAAGAACGACTATACCGACAAGAATAAAATCAACACAGATTGTGCAAGTAAGTCAACCATCTTCTTCCTGGATACAAACTAACATTAACACAAGTATATACTCTTACCATTTGCCGATAAAGACATATTCGTTAGGCTTGTGTCAATGCTAAACGCTTCTTAATTTTGAGAAGAATATTGAGTTTGTAAAAGCCATTTTATATATAAGATAATAGAGAAGTATATATGACACAGATACACAAATCAACATCGAGCACTTATATCCTGGATATCATTTTCACAATGTAATGGCTATTTATAAAGCCCCGGTATAAAGGGAGTTGTGCATGCTCATTAACACGGATAACCCAAGCTGCCTGTGAGGCGCTACAAGGTTAACAGTCATATGATTTATCCCACGGGTACACATTCACTGCTTGGTGATCAGAGGCAACTCATGAAAAACTCACTTGCCTAAAGCTTCGTTGTGGGGCAGGACTGAAGTCCTAGAAACTCTAAGGGAGTCAGGCAGCCAAACACGGGCTACCAACGTTGCTTAACTTCAACTGATTTGTGACCTGGGCCACGTTCCTCAAAGCGATCGTAGCGCTAAAATGATCGTAACTCCCATACTTTAACATTGACTTACGACTGTCGTAGCACTGCGATCGGGGCCCTGGGCTCTATGCACAGAGACACACACCACCACAAGAAGTATCTACACGTCAAGGATCCAGTCTCACATATGTACTGTTGTGTTATTACTGCAGGGTTTGGAAGTGTATCCCTTCCGCTGTCCGCCCGCAACACGCCTGAAGAATGTGTGCCCAGCAGTCTCGCCAAGTCTCGTCACCGCAGGAGGAATGAGAAGAAAACGGGAAGACGACGACAAGCAGTCACGTGTCTACCTGTCATTACAACCCGCAGTCAAGAAGATCGTAAGTCGTGTGTAGTTAAGGAATATAGTCCATCTGGGTTCAGTTGTTCAGAAGTCTTAGTATGAACCGCTGTTTAGCTGCTCTAATAAGTCTTCAACAACCAATTGAGGCCATCAAAACTTCAGTACTTGCACATTTGCAAAGGAAAATGAAAATTCCAAAATCGGAATAAAATGGGAAAAGATATTCCCTTAAAAAGCAAATGAATGTTAGTACTGTCCGGTGCCGTTCCTCATGAAATGTTATGGATTAACAGACTAACATACACTCCAGTTACGTGACACAGTACAGTGCCTAGTGGTAACTCATGGATTAAACTTGAGGATATCTTCAATACAATTGCAAGTGACACAAGGCATTTACTTTTACGACAGTTCATTGACGATAATGTTATACGCGTGCAAGTAATCATCCCATTAAAAAATGGAGGCGGTCACAAGTGAATGTATGTATCAGGTGTGGCATCGGTGTACAAGTTTAACTGCAGCGATCTCTATTGTATTCTCAGTGGCCAAGTCTGCTGAGGATCATGTCCGTGAGTTGGACCAGATGCTGAAGAACGACAGCCTTATAGACTTGTTTAATGAGGTAAGAAACTCTCCGCAGTACCAATGTCCAACCACAACTTTTAGTTTGAATTGCGTCCACCAAGTCATTTCTCTCAGTTAAAACATAAATCATGTTACTGAATGTGCGTAACACAATCGATATGTTGTTCGAAGGTCATGTACTGTTTTTAAGAGCTATACACACACTAACTCCTTGCAACTTCACCATTAAAGGCAGCAGATCACAATTTCATTGGTCGACTCTGTATCCTTTATGTTTTCTGATTGGACAAAATGAATAACGTTGCCTGGAACATGACCATTACAAGACGTTCGGATATGGGTGATATAATCATTGTTTTGATTGGTGATCATAGACATAGCACAGGCCCTCGTGTCTTTGCGAGGATTAAAGATTAAAGAATATTGTTTTCGAGATGACCCCGACTCTAAAAGCTTCAACATTCAATACATCATGACAAGGCTGGACACAGCTTCGACCACACATCCATAGGCCTATAGTCATCCATATGCGGATATATAGTCATCCATTTGTGTCAAGATCGTTTAGTTGAGAGTCAAAATCGGGTTTCAATCAACTTGCAAAAATAACATTAAGGGATTGGTAGGTGTCATGAGTGGTGCTCGATAGGCCAATCATCCGTGATTATGTTTAAATCAAGTTTTAATCGATTGCATGCGATGGTAGCATAGTGATCGGCAAAGCAGACGGGTGGGGTACACCGAAGTGTCCGGCCGTGTCATGATGAATTGTACTGGGAAGCATTTCGAGTCGGGGGTCATCTCAAATCTTTATATAATTATATGTTGTTGTTGTTTTTTTTTAATCCTCGCAAAGACACGAGGGCATGTGAGACAAAGGGCAATTTAGTAAGTGGACAAGTAATACTGTGACACTGCTTGAGTTTTCCTTGAAACTCATGCTCTTGGGAAGCAGAGCCGAGTTCACCTCGATGACAACCCTGAGTCATTAGGCAACAATCTGTTTCAGATTCCACCCAGGAAGAAATCTTCATCCAACAACGATGGCCAAGAAAAAGTGTTTGTCCAGATACAAAAACTGGGCCCCAAAGAGATATACGTATGTGCACTTCTTCAACACTACTTCAACAAAAAACATATGTCAGAGCAATATAAGATGCCTTAAAACTGTAGTTCGATAACATAAGGAAACGTAACTATTTATTTCAGGGATGTTTTTGTGAACTTTCGCCGCCTGATCTCACAGGGGATTGTCGTTATCGAAGTTACAAACCAATAAATGTTACTTACCATATAGGGATAGCGAAGTATGGACTGGTGATGATAAATTTCCTTATATGCGATGTGCTCTTTACCCCAGGGCTTAGAGCAAGCAGTATTCAGTATGATGGGTACCACTACCAACACCAGCCTCGTTTCTGATGGCGCCGAATGCGTGCTCATCAACCGGAAATTCTTCCTGCATCACCTTTCTGAGAGTACCGCGAAGAGAATGCGGAGAATGGTCGGTACCTCAGGCCTTGCAAAAGCCAAACATGTTGTGCTCAGTCCCATAGTTTAAATGTTTGTCAGCACCGTATTAATGCTAGTATAACACCAAATTGGTAAGGGCCTACAACATGTGTAATTTCGGGGTTTCCTCGCACATCCAACTTAAATTTCAAAATATATCAAATTATCCAAAGAGGCGTCAACATCTGTGCATTTCGTGTTCTATAAATTGACATCCAATTTCGTTAGAAGCAATAGTTGAATACAGTCATCTTTCATGATAAAGGTGTTCCCCAAACCTGAAACAAGGACAAAAAAAGACATGTACATATTACAGAAAATACATTTTAACAGTAATTAACAAAACCCCGCTGACTTATCTACAGTTGACAACGTTTCCGAAACAACTTGGTTTTTATGCCTGCAAGTTGGTATACCTATTGAGCACTATTTTCTTCAGATCCAACCGATTCCATCTGATGACAGTCTGCAACAGAAACTCCAAAACAAGGCCAACTGGGAGGCGTTTAAAGCCTTGACGGTCACAGACTACTTGGTGTATAGGAAACATCTTCAGGATTTCCTGAACTTGTAACATATTAATTAGACGATAAAGCTACTATGTTTTCAATTTTGCGGTCCTTTATCGTTGATTTAAGAACACACAATGTAATTTAAGAACCGAACCTGTTTTTCAAATTGAAAACAGAGAAGCTTTATCGTCATTCTAGCACGACTGATAAGCGTTTTAAAACCGGACTCGTTGAGGCGCAAGAACACAATTGATGGGGCCATTTTCCAGGAGATTGCTTGGAATCGTCCAGTTATAGACAGGTTGTGTAAGGAACAAAATAAGACATCTCCAACAACATAAAGGGCTTTTGTTCAAGAACCAGAATGTTTGTATTTGTAACAAGTAGCATAAATATATTACAAAAAATAATACAATTTATACTGTGAGCAAGTACAAATACTGGACTTTTCTCAACCAAATTATTAATCTCCCCTAACTGTAACTGGCTAAATTTAGTCGCCGCTAACTTTATTCACGTGAGTAATTGTTAATGACCACGATGCTGTTCCCAATTTGGAAATGCCAGTTTTAAGTATGGTTTTGATGAGTTCTCAGCCAATCAGAATCGAGTATCACATAATGTCGTGCTGGAATGCCTGTTTGTCAACGTTGTGTTTGTGTGCTGTCAGAATCTGTGTTGTTCATGTCAGAAACATCCAAGCATCATCCTTCATCGTCTTTGGCAACATAACCTCCACGTTGACCTTCGGTGTATGTTGCCATTGTAAAAGTCTGTTTTCAAACAACAGAAACATAAAACGTCGACAGCATGCAGTGAATGCCTTATGCTTGGTAATACAAACAAAACTACTATAGCATCAAAGAACTGAATGTTTTGTGACCATTCACATATGTCTTATATGCAAAGAAACGTGTCAGTTATTCACTCATTGGCGTTTTCGTTTATTTGATACGTGTGCAAAACAAATAATAATATTCACATATGAAATTCCATATGATTATATACAAATACATGCATATGAAGTAACTTGTGGGCACTTGAAGTCTCTAATGCCCACCAAGGGCGAAATGCAGAACGATTTCAGGGGATTTCAGGGTGTATGTCGTTCTTTGTCTGGCGGCGGACATTCCTCGTATTTGGCTGTAAGTGTGAAAACGTCTTTACAAACGAGACGTGACAAAGACTGTAAGGGAGTGATGGCATACAACCTCAGTCAGGGATATGTCTGTTGCACCTGAAATATACTTAACATACCAAAATATACATCGCATTACAGGATTGATAATATTGCAGCACATTCATTCCTTAGTGCCATTCTGTGCAACATTGTGTCTGTGGTTTCCGGGTGGTTGGAAACAATGTCAGTTGTAGAGACAGTACACCTACAATCTTTGTTGACAAAGGAGATCCAAACTCCTGCCGTTCACTTGTCTATAATGAACATGCAATCTTAGAGATAGATGTATAATTATTTTATTAGAGTCTCACCTAATTTGGTACATTTAATCAGCATACAGCATATTAATAAACGCATATATTACATAAAATACAAAGAACCACTCCATTTGGAGTTACGGGAGACTTTAGACATATAAAATATACATATATACACAATATACAATGCTGAAAAAAAGCACAGTTAATTATATGAAATACTACTGCGATATCTAAATGATCTTTCAGGATTTGGCACTAAAAGATCACATTCATTATTAGAAAGAATAAATCGGATCTTATCACAGTCGTAGCTTTACTAAAAGCTGGCAAAAAATAGAACTTGTCTTACATCATTATAAAGTGGACAATGTAAGAGAACATGGCATTCGTCATCGATAAAATGCAAATACAAGTACAGTAGCTGGATTTACATCATACCTTCAGGTGTTGATGATTGTTTAGCAAAATAGCCATACATTAAAAGAACAAATATGCTACTATCAAAATTCAGAGAAAGAAAAATACTTTGAATGAAAATGGACTTACGAACCCTCTTAGGGAGTGGATCTTTTATGAATGGAGAATGCTTTTTGTCACATCATCCTGATCATCATTAACGTCTGATATATGCATGGTTGGTGCCACCATCAAAGTCCGGTCTACCAAGAGGTTGGACACGATATCAAACGTTTTTGTTAGAGGCATGACAAATTTGTTACCGGACTAATGTATATCAGGATTTTGTATAAGTAGTCAACAGAAAGTAGATAATAATGGCAATACGTCAGTTACCAGTTTTCGCTGAAATTACTGAAAGAATCTAAAACTGATAATAGAATGCTACTCAGTATGGGAGGCTACTCATGTAGGCTTAAGAATGAATCTTACTATATCAAGAGTTATCTCCACTTTGTTGACATGGGAGATTTGACAGCAGAAGAGAAAAGAAAGCTAATTCTAGATGATTTTGAAAGGGGTTTGACTAATGCAAAGAGCTGGTAGACATGACATTGCTCTATCTACAGTATACAGAACTTTGAAGAATATTTAGTCAGGAGTTGGGACTGAGCACAAGGAAGGGGCATTGAGGCCAAGGAAGTTCAGTATTACGGATCGCCGGCGACTTGGTCAGATTGTGAGTAGGGGAAAATTGAAAAGCGTTGAGAATATCAGAAATGAGATGATTAACAGAGGACATCCTCAGGTATATAGTGAAACCCTTAAACAAGAATTACAAAGACTTAATTGGGTGAAAGGCCCGGAATTCCCTCAGCATTGATGAAAGATGCACAAAAGAAAGACGTTTAAACTGGTGCAGTGCTCACGAATTTGAAGATTGTGATAATATTTTTCTTTTGTGATGAAGTTCTATCTGGATGTTTGCGATCTGTGCGAACATTTGGACCCAACATGCCGTGAAACCACTTGGAGTGACGACGTTGTTATTTTCACTAGAAATCGATGAAGGAAAGATTTGATGACATCTTAAATGATAACTTCCTGACAACGGCCCGAACACTGTGTGACGAAAATTGGAAGTAGCTCAAAGTAAAACGAGCTATGTTTGTTTTCAAATTTAGGTTCCTAGTTTTAGGCAAATATACCGCTTACATCTGGAGGTCTGCATTAACACCTTGTGCAAACACCTCCTCTCCTTTCCTTATTTCCACTACCCCTTGGATAACTGGGTAAAGTAATACCAAATAAAAGACCATACAAGCACATTGCACACACAATGTACAGTCAAGACACACGTATGCTCACACATGTGTTAAAGTAAAGCATTACCGTAGCCTTTCCACATTCCATATAATCAAACAGTTATTAAATGTCATAAAATGTTCTTAATAAGCTTACAGTGAAAACCTTATAAACTTTTAAACATGTTTAATGAGTGAGTGAGTTTAGTTTTACGCCGCACTCAGTAATTTTCCAGTTATGTAGCGGCGGTCTGTAAATAAACGAGTTCAGATAATCCAGTGATCAGCAGCATATCCCCGTTGACAGCATTATTTGGAGTATATGTCCTTAGTCTCATAACAAAGCGCATCGACCTGTTTTGTACAGCGTTTATAGATGACAAGGAGTATGTTTCCCAGTAGCCGCTCCGTTCTGAATAGTTGACCAAACCGTTGAATCATACAACTTCCAAAAGGTGTTACACTGTATTCCTCCCAGATGTTTAAACTTTGTTGTTAGCAGTCTTAAAGCACAGTTTGACAATCTAGCCACAGCTTGACCCATCCGCTGGTAATATAGATGATCTGTAAGACTGACTGAGTTTTGGTTTTACGCCGCTTTTAGCAATATTACAGCAACATCACGGCGGGGGACACCAGAAATGGGCTTCACACAATGTACCCATGTGGGGATTCGAACCCGGGTCTTCGGCGTAACGAGCCAACGCTTTTACCACTAGGCTACCCCACCGCCCTGATCTGTAAGAAGCAGTACCAGATAATTGCAACTTGTTACAATTTCAAGAGGCGTTGATCCGCACGTATTTTAAGGTTGAGTTGATCTTTCACACGACGGGTTTCTAAAATGAATGGCCTTTGATTTATTAGGGTTTATTGCTAGTTGTTTTTCAGACACCAAATATTGAGACAGTCTAATGACACATCCATATCATTTTCTTTTTCCGCCATGAGAATTATGTCATCAGCATATAAAAGGATGCTAAAAGAGTCCTCATCAATCTTTACTCCCAGATCTAGCCCTTTCACACTTTCAATAAGGTCATTCAAGGACGGAAGATTTTGTTTATGGATGTCAACTTATTATGTTCCTTATAATAAAGAAGTTGACATCCATAAGACAAATAATGCCAAGTAAAATATCACACAAGCACACCGTACACACAATGTACAGTGAAGACACACGTATGCTCACACATGTGTTATAGTAAAACATAACTCATTCCATATAATCAAACAGATATGAAAAATGTTGAAATGCTTGTGGTGGTGCTAATTATCACACCCTTGTTGCATTTTAACCTAACCAAGAAATTGGTTACGAAAGGACGGCTTGTTTTCTAAGCCCAATTTATTCGAACCAAAATTGGCGAGATACTGTCACTGTATCACAGTTGAATGGAGTCCAGTTAATATGAATTATGTCTCATTATACTTTCATGCACCCTTAACCATCTGTTTGCAATATAAAGAAAAAAGAACAGTTAATGAAAATATTTTCGCCCATTTTAATATCGCTGTAAATTTGTGAAATTTAAGTCAGAATGATTTAAATGTTGTCTCATGACACTTTTAAAGTAACTTTGATTAATTTACAACGTCCAATACATGAACAAAATACCATTGTATTTTGAGCTCAAGTAGATATATTCTCGCCAATGGGCGAGATTTTGTAATATCGCTCTAGTTTAGCTGAATTAAGTAACGATGAGTTGGAATTTGTATCACGATACTTATAAACATACTTTCATTCATTTACAACCTCCAAAACATGAAACAAGAACATGAAGTTTGAGCAAAAGTACATATTCTTGGCAATTGTTTTCGCCCATGGGCGAGATGTTTGAATTATCGCTTTAAATTGGCCGATTTAAGTCACAATGAGTTAAATGCATTCGTTTACAACCTCCCAAACAAGAATTCTGAGCGAAACTATACATTTTCGCCCATGGGCCACTGTTCGCCTATGGGCCGGTCCATGCATGTGGTCAAGGTAGTTTTTTCATTTTTTCATCCTCAGCATATATTCATGACAACTGCATGTTGAATTTGGTCAAATCCTTTGTCAGAATGTGGCCACAGTACAGAGATTTTCTGGACTTTGGGGTTTCCAGAATGAAATTGTGACATGTTTATTGTATTTCTTGATAACCGCACATCTTTGTGTTCCTTAGAAACGCACTATTCCAGAATCGTTCAGTTGCACTCGTCACATTTCCTCCTGATCAGCTGGCGCGGTGGGGTAGCCTTATGGTTAAAACGTCCTTTCTTCGCGCTGAAGACCTGGGTTCGATTCCCCACGTGGGTACATATATCTGAAGCTCATACAGTCCTTACAAACACACTATTGGAAATTGAACACGTAAATGTCTAGACACACAACAGTTTGTCAAAGCTACCAGAACCAGACCACCTTACTTCTAGAAGAACACAACGTCACAAGCTGTGCCGATTGAGTGTGTCGTGTTTCGTGTATGTGCCCATCTTGCCAGTGTTTTACATACATGTGATATGCGAACTTATATGGCAATGTGAACTGTGCTGTTATGTTAAATGACCACATCACGGACTACTTCCCAGTATCCCAGGGTGTGAGACAAGGCTGCAAACTGTCCCCAGCGCTGTTCTCTGTGTGTACAAATGACATGACAAAGGAGACAAATATTCTGCAATGTGGTATACCCATTGATGCTGACATCTTATGTAGTCTACTGTATGCTGATGACATTGCCTTTATAGCGCCTGATGAACAGTTTCTCAAAAGGATGCTAGATGTTTTAAATATATAGT